TTTTTGTTCAATGTTCCCATTACTCAGGCCTCCGGCGGGCGTGGAGACAGAAATACAGCCCACAGGAGCAGCCAGCAGCCAGGAACCCAATTCTCCCTCAAAGGCCGGAAGAGGCCCTTGTGCACAGCATGCCAGACCGCAGTGACCCACACACTCCACACGGCGACGACCACGGCCACGTCCCGCCCTCAACACACACATACATACACGTACCCACTGCAGCTCCGTGCATGCGTGTGGACATAGGTGTATCTCACACACACTGAGATGTGTGTGGTATTCAGGGCACAGTTTTACCTCACACAGATACACATACTTACACACACACACACACACACACACACACCCATCTACACACGGACTGGGTCTTGCTCATTCACACCCCTGGGCACCCCCCATCCACACGCAGACTTGTCTCACAGACACAGCATCCTCCCAATCCACACCCACACCCCGGATGTCACACACACACACACACACACACACATATACACACTGGTGCCTGTGCTTCCCAATAGCCCACTCACACTGGTTGTGACCACATACTCTGGGGTCACAAATGTCTCTGCCCTCCAGACGCTGGACCACATACTCTGGGGTCACAAATGTCTCTGCCCTCCAGACGCTGGTGGGCCAGACAGGCGGGGAGGCTGTGGAGCGGGAAGGGGTGAGGCAGCAGGGGGAAGGGGGAGCGTGGGCTCCTGGGAACTCAGGCCCAGGGCTGCCAGGGCTTCTGAATTTTTAAGAGAAGCTGGAAAGCTGGAATTTTATGTGAAATATCCTGATTTTTAAATGTTGGCTCATGAAGTTGAAAATACTGCGAGAGCCAACCCAAACATGCCGGGGGGCCAAGTTCCACCACAGGCAGCATTCTGAGCCCTCGCTCCCACACAGACACGCACACAGACACAGACACACAGCGTCCCACGGAGGACACGAGGGCCTGCACACATGCGCCACGGAGGACACGGGGCCTGCGCACACGCGTACACAGGGCAAACACGTGAGCACACACAGACACGGGTCCACATAGAAACAGACCCACGAACAGACTCACAGAGACACGCCAATAGGTAGGCCCACCACAACCACAGAGATGGGCATGAAGACAGACACGTGTGTTTATGATCACAAACAGCACAAGTCTACACCTCCCCTCAGACAGACAGCCGTAAGCACAGGCCTAGGAACGGGCACACAGCACAGCCTCTGTGTCGCCAATGTGAGGGAGCCTGTTGGGGCCAGGGGGCCTATCAGTGTGGCTCTGGGGAAGGGCCAGGGTGTGGTGCAGGCCAAGGCTGGCTTTTATAAGGGCTGGAGCAGGAGGAGGGGGCGAGCCACCAGGATCCCCGAGGGACAAGCAGTGCTGGGCGGACAGGAGCATGCAGCAGGGGGAAGGTGGGGCCATGGGTTGGAGCCACTGACACTGAAAGCCGAGAAGAGGGTTTGGAGGGGCCCAGAGCCCACCCTGTGGAGTGCTAGAGCCACCGCTGTCCAGCCAGCCTTTCCCCGGGGTGCCCCGTCTGTCATCGGAAAGCAAAGCCAGTGGGGGCCTCGGGGGCTCCATGTCTGCAGAGCTCCTTCCTGCCAGAGACCCTGGAGATGTCCCAGTGGCTGTCATTGTCCCTGAGGAAGCACTGAAAAACCTCCCATCAGGGAGCTTTGGGGTGCGGGGGGGTGGGCAGAGCTTGAGACACGCTTCTTCCATACCCCCATCAAATCTGAAACTCGAACAGGGGACAGGTCTAAAGAGCCCCTGCATAATTTACGTGGGAACCTGGAGGTGCCCCCAGGCCCCCCGCCCCCTCCCCAACCCCCCAGATGGATGAAAGGACCTATGTCCCCAGAGTGGGCTTCTGCTTCCTTTCCCTGCCCAGGCCCCACCCCAGAACCTGGACAAAGCCACTCTGCACAGATCTGCACCTGACCCCCTTTGTCTCCAGTATCCATTGCCCTCGGCCATTATGCTGAGGAAGGAGGGAACCTGTCGATTGGGCATGTTGTTCCGATCTTGGGTTTCACAAGGCGCAAGGGAAAGAGAGGGTCCCACTGAAGCAGCCACACCCACCCTGGGCACCTGGGAGAGCACAGAGCAGCACTGAGCCCACGCAGACCAGCCCCAGGCAGGAGCCTACCCTCAGAGGAGAAACGGGGGTCAGAGAGGGAAGGTGGCCTGTTGGGGTCACACAGCACCTAGAGCGAGCCAGCCAGGGCTCAGGGCCCCTCTGCCCCACCTGGCCTGGCACGGCAGGTACTCTGCTAAGACCCTTTCCAGTTGGCCATGGCTGGCTCGGGCTGGGATCAGGCTCCTGGAGTTGGCTAAGGGGCTATCAGCCCTAACAAGCTGGGCCCAACCCAGTCTCTGCCAGAACCCAGTAGTACCCTCACCGCCCCCTCCACCCCCCACTCCTTCCCTTGACGGGGGTGCCCTCTTCTCACCCATCTCAACTCCCAGAGCAGGTTGTCCCCTCAAGAACTTGCAGACTCCGCCTCTGGAGTGTGTCCACCCCGAGACCACGTCCCCAGGGAGGGCGGGGCTGACTATGTGCAGGCCACTAACCTGGGGCTCACAGGCTGCCGGTGGGCACAGCGCTCTCTCCCATGCCCACCCCTTGGCCCTCGCCTGACCCAAGAGCCTCAGACCCTCCCCTGACCGACACACCACATAGCTGTCTCTACCACATCTGCTCACCATGAAATGGTTTCTCCCTGGGGCCTGGTTCTCTAGGTGAAGCCCCTCTCCACTCACTACCCACCCTGCCACACCACACACACCACTACCACCCTGCCATGCCACACAGAACCAGCCGCCACACACACACACCACTACCACACCCTGCCATGCCACACACCACTACCACCCCACCACCCTGCCACGCCATACACACACCACTACCACCACCACCACCCTGCTCTTTGCCCCCTCAGCACCACCTTCCCTTGTGAAAAAGAATTTAAACCACCACCACCACATTTCGTCCGGGGTCTTCCAAGGTCTAGGAGTGATAGGTGAGTGGGGCAGCGTCTGTGCCCATGCCCACAACGCACGGGGGCTGGACCTGGACACCCGCCTCCCCAGCCTGACGTGGGTCTGGAGTCGGGGCCCTCCTTCCTGCCACCCTGCGGTCCGGCTCGGCTGGTATTCGTGTGCTCCCTGTGGTCTGGCTGGGCGCTGGGGCCTTGACGGGAGAACTGACCACCTGGCTCCAGCCCCTGTTCAAGGCAAACAGGGTCCTGACAGCCTGCCAGGCCCTCTGAGGGCTCCCACTTCCTCTGCCAACACCTGGATGGCCCAGGTGGGGCCCAGGGGCCTCTGAGCAGGGAGAGGCCTGGTGGGGAAGAAGACTTGGGCCCAGATGGATGGGCTAGGCCCCGATCTAGGACAGGTGGCCTGAGGGAGGAAGAGGCTTGGCCCTGCCCTGGGTGCAAATCCACTCAGAGGGAGGGGCAGCCCTTGTCTAGGCAAGGCCTTCTGCGCCAGCCTGGGGGCAACCACCCAAGCAGCCCGGGCCCACTTAGCCCCACGGGGAAGGAAGCACAGGCCAGTCTTGGGGAATCCCATCTGAAGGAAGGTGACGGGCTTTCCTCCAGGGTGCCTGGTCTGAGGGGAGCCCCAGTTCCACCCTGGGGGACCACACACTCAGGGAGCAAACTCAGCCCTGTCCATGGGCACCTGACAGCCCTGCCCTGAGGAGAGTGTCCCCCAAATAGGAGACCTCTATTTGGGGGATACCCAGGCAGAGGGAGTTAGACTGGCCCTGCCCCGAGGGGATGGGGGGATGCACTAAGGGGGGCTGTCTGCTTCATAGCCAAGTGGGCCTCCAGCTGCTTCCTTACCTAGAAATGTGCGCAGGGAGGAGGGGTCCCTTCGCCCAGCTCAGGGCCTCAGTGACCCTGCCTGTGGGGTGGGTACAACGACTTGCCCTAGAGGCCCAGTGGCCAGGAGTCCCCTGGCTCTGAGGCGAGGCCCAGGGAGGGGAGTGAGGCTTCCCCCCGCCCCCCCACCAGCCCCTCACCCAGGCTCCTTCCGGAAGGGCCTGCCTCTCTGCTTCCTGGCCTCCTGCAGGCTACCTCTCCCCACATTCGAGCAAGGCTCAGGCCTGGCGGCCCCCAGCATCCCTGGGCACCCCCACATGGCCCAGGGGCTCCTTAGGACCTGGCCTGGGCCCCTTTCCACCCCACCGCTGCCGCTCTGATCAGGTCACCCCCCCTGGAGTTCCCAGGGGGCACCATGCCATTCCAATCATCACATGGGAGGCTGCAGGGCGGGGCTATGCCTGGGTGAGTGCCTTAGCTCCTTTTCTCGAGCCTCCCTCTGGGGACCGAGAGCACTTCCTGGGTGCTGCACCCACGAGAAGAGCCTGGGATGAGCTGTGCATGAGGGGCTCGGGCCTCAGAGGGCGGGCCGGGGAGGGGCACACACTTCAGGCCTGACGGGGCTTATTCCGGCCGGAGCTTGGAGGGGCCGAGGAGCTCACGGCTCGGGCAGTGGGCTGGGAGGGTGAGACATGAGAGCAGGTGGTATGCACACACGCGTGGCGGCGATGCCCAGTGGCTAGGGATCGGCCGGGCCGCAGCTCCCCCGTGCTCTCAACCCAAGCAGAGAGCTTGTCTTTCATGGGCAGTCCCTGCACCTCTCTCTGGCTCATGAGGCCCAGTGTGGGCACGGAGCAGCCAGGCCAGATCCATTGGGGCCGGGCCTCAGGTTGGGGGGACAAAGGATCTGCTCTCAGCCAGGAGGGGACAGCGGTGAGGGGCAGTGACGGGGACCCGCAGGCAGAGGCGCCTGGGGGTGAATGCAGTGAGTGGCTGAGACGGTAACAGGTGGCAGAGAAATGAGGGGCCCCATCCCCGCCTGCCCCGACTCCACAGCAGCCGGAGCCTCCCTGGGCCTCGAGCGCGGAGTCTGCTGCGCTGGGACCCCGCTGCGATCGCCAATGCCCCCAGCCCCGCTCTTCCCGGGTGGGGCCGGCCTTCGGACCAAGGAAGCCACACACTGCTTCCTTTTGGTTTTTTTCTTTCCACTTTTCCCTCTGAACCCCAGCCCTGAGAGGGCAACCGCCCAACCCCCTGGGTCTTGGTCCTTCTGCCCCTGTGTCCGCAGGTTCAGCCCCTGGCTCCGGGTCACATGACGGTCTCCCACTCCTCCTGCAGCAGGGCGGGGGAGTGCTCCGGTCCCGAGGCCTCCTCGTCCAGCCCCAAGCAGGAGCCATTGAGGAAACCGTTGTCCTTGGGAGCAGCCCTGGTGGGTGATGCTGTCTCTGGGCTTTGGGCCCCTGTCTTGGGGTGGCCATTGATGGCAGCAGCGGGCAGGAGGCGGGGGCTGAGGGGCAGGCCGAGTCCCGTGCGGGGGCCCACGTTGGTCACACTCGTGTGCGACACCATCGGGCCGTAGCTATAGCTGCTGCTCCCGCTGCGGGCCTTGCGCTTGAAGTCCAGTGCCAGCGTCCAACGGCTCCAAGACTTCTTGATCTCGGCCTGTACCTGGGGCAGCAGCAGGGGGGGGGGGGGCGCTGTCAGGGGGCGTCCCAGCCCCTGTGACACATGTCCTTCCAAACAGTGGTCCTGCCCTGCCCCTGACACCCAGCACCGAGCGGGAATAGCGGAGGAGGGTTACTGGAACAGTCTGTGTGACCTAGCACGTCCCATCGTCAGAGCCCAGGGCCTGGCTGCGGGCGGTCCAGCCCCGGATCAATGTCCTCGAGGTGCCTGAGCCCTTCCATTGGGTCTCAGGTCATTCACACGGCTGCCATGGAAACACCCTGAACTGAGGCCAGCCAGCCAAGAGCCCACAAGCCCTAGCACACTCTGAGCATGGATCGTCCGGAAAGACGTCTCTGCCTTCAGGGAGTCCTGGGGGATGTTCTCGGAGGGGCAGAGAGAGAGTGGGGCTGGGGAAGGGAGGGACGGGACTTGAGGACCCCCTGCCTGCCCATCCCCTCCCTGCTGTGCCCCAGCACTGCCCACTGCATACCTCGCCGTTGCAGAAACAGTATATGATGGCGACAAAGAATCCCTGTGGGGAGAGGCAGACGGGGATCAGGGCCCGGAGCCCACTGGTGGAGGCGGAAGCAGCCCCCACCTCGCCCACCTGCTCGCCCTCCACAGCCCCCTGGCCGGGGCTGCGCACCTGGAAGGAGTTGAAGAGCATCTCGTAGTGCATCTGGATTTGCCAGAGCGTCCCTGAGACCTCAGTGTACGGCGTGGCCATGAAGACGATGTAGTGGACACCAAACAGCGGCATGAGCACTAGCGTGGATTTGAGCAGCTTCCTGGCCGGGGGTAGAGGTGGGGGTCGGGGTGGGCAAGAGGGTCAGGGCTGAGGTGCTTCCCTTCAGCGGGTATCAGGCCACCTCTCCCTTACCAGCCCCAGGTTCCTAAAGCTACAAAAGGAGCCCAACGCTGTGGTGGCCATGGGAATGGGACCGCTGGATCTGGTCCCCAGGACAGGCTGCTCTCCAGCAAAGGGCTTGTAGCCTTCCTGGGTCCTCAGAGCAGTCTCGAGGAGTGGACCCTAATCACACGTGTTGGCCTCGAGGGCCTGCTAGCCCCTCCAAGAGGGCCTCCTCCCACTCTCCTCTGCTGCACTCCTCCCTGGAACCATGATAGCCATTTCCCACTTGCTCCGGGTCACCTGCACCAGCACCAGTGCGTGGAGGTGCAGCGTGGGGGCAAGCTCACATTCACAGGTCCCGGATGGGCCAGGTGAGCATAGGGAGGACCGCATCACTGCTGAGCAGGTCAGAGTTCCCGGCTGGCCCGCTACAGTGGGGACAGTCAGGGAGTTCGGAGCTGGCTCCATCCCTGGTGACAGGCTCACCAGTGGGGCCTCTGCCTCTCCTGTGCTTGGGGCTGGGGCTCTGAGACCCTGGCACCAGCAGCTGGGCCTGGGAGGCGTGGCTCACCGGTACTGCTGCCCTGTGTCACACCGGCCGGCATTGGTCTCCCGCAGCTTGGTGGCAAGTACCCGCACGATATTGATGAAGAGGATGAAGTTGAGCTGTAGGGGGGTGGGGGGCGGGGCACTGAGGGATTGCACTGAGGCCGTACCTAGCAGGGCGAGGGGCTGCAAGGAGCCTTGGAGCTCCTCCCCCTCCCCCGCCATAGGCTCTGCTCCGCCGTGTCTCTGTGTCCCCTCATGCCCCTGTTCCTGGTCAGAGGCTGGTCCCCAGCCAGCCACCCACCCCTGCTCCCTGCTCACCACAATGGATGCCAGGATGGGAACCTGGATAATCCACTTCTTGTTCCCGGAGCTCAGATCCCAGCACCTGCGGGGAAGAGTGAGCGGGGAGGAGGTCTCAACCCGGCCTGCCTGCTGCCTTTCCACGCTGCATCCACCCCCAGGGAGGCCCCCAGACCAGGTCTGCCCTGCCAGCAGCTGTTGGGGCACAGGACAGGGGTATTAGGCATGAGCTGTCACAGGCCCCTTGGGAGTGACCTCTGTGACGCTGAGGCATGCTCAGTGGATGTCTCGGAGCAGGGGCCATTCAGGGCAGGAGGACAGACAGGTGAGCCCCTTGTGTGCATCCCAGAGGCAGGGGCCCCCCTCAGGCTTCTGTAGCCTGTGTCGGTCCCCCTCCCTACCCCCACCCCTACCGTCACCCTCCCCATCGGGACCTACCCGGTGTTGGCCAGGGTGGCTCTCACAGCAACCCACGTGATCACAAAGACGGTGGGCAGCCCTGTCAGCAGAGGAGAGAGACTGAGAGGGGCTGTGGGCAGGCCTCTCCCCTCAGCCTCCTCGCCAGCCCCACCCTCTCATTCCTGAGGATGCTTGGAGCACCCAGTCCCTGCCGCTGCCCCACCCACTCAGGACATGTGGGATGCCGAGTGACCTCAAAACCTCCCGCAGGGCCCCAGCTGAGGCCCCCATCTCGGTGCTTCTGCCCCTTTGACAGGCTGTCCCATGCACTGCACGCCCTGGGGTGCACGCTAACCTGCTGGCATGGGCTTGGGGAGGAGGGAGCCCAGTTCCACCATTTCTCTGTACTAACAACCCCTCAGCTTGGCCTGAAAGTCCCTGCCTGACCCCATGGATAAGGCTGAATGGGGCCAGGGTTTCCCTAGGCTGGACCAGAGCAGGGAAGCCTCTGCGAGGCCCAGCCGGAGCCACTTGGAGTGTCCCTCCATGTGCTTTGTCTCTGGGCGGAGAGCTGCCCCACCCCCCCCAGTCCCATTCTAGGCCTGGGCGCACCCCTGGGAGGCTCACGGTGTACCTGACGTCATGCTGAGGACAGAGCGGGCCTCCCTGTGCACACAGCCTCTCATCTACACGTCTCCCGATCACCCTGTCCCTCCACCCTCGGAGCCCGGCTGATCCCTGGGCCCAGGCCCAGCCTCCCCTGACTCCACGCAAAGGCTTGAGTCCAAGGGTGAGGTGAGGCCAGGGTGTCTGCCAAAGGATAGGGGGGCAGTGGCTGTTGACCCGAGGGCCTCTGGGGGCAGAGGTGGGGTGAGGTGGGGTTTGAGGCTGAGGCCCGGGTGCTGACGGAAGTAGGAAGGGCTTGAGTCACCCGGCCCACCCCTCTGCAGTCTGGGCAGATGCCCCAGCGTGCAGCCAAGGTCTGGAACTGCCAACAATAACGGACAATTATCGGTAACTTGATCCTGGAGCCCGTGGGGGCTTGGGAGGGGTGCAGAGTCCCAGCAGCCCGCTCTATAGAGGTGTTGCCAAAGCCGGGCAGTGCCTCCAGGGAAGCTGGGCCTATGGCCCACCCCCAGGTTGCCAGCTCAGCTCAGGTGAGCTGCCACAAGCTGGCCTTGCCCAGGGGGCTGAGGGTGGAGGGACTGGGCCAGACCCCACCTCCTGATGGAGGTTGATCCAAGGTCCTGCCCTGATTCCGAGCTGGATCTTGACCTAACAGACCCTGGTCCTCTCCCATGGCAAACCCAGGAGAATTCCCAATCCGGGCAGCATCATAGGAGGGTGGGCAGAGCAGGCTAACCCTCAAGGGTGCCAGCTGCCCTGGTCCCTGTGGTCCCCTCCCCTCCACCTGCACCTCACAGGTCTGCCCGCCATGCCCCCCCCCCCCACGTACCCCACGTACCCCAGCCGAAGACCGTGAAGCCCCACAGGTACTTCTTCTCTGAGAAGAAGGCCATGAAGATGAGACTGTGCAGGTAGAGCCCCTCCACCAGAATCCAGTAGTAGTTGGTGGCCAGGAAGTAAAGGAAGAAGGTCACTGCCACCCGGCAGCCCACCTGGAAGGCCAGCTTGCATTAGTGGTTCTCAACCTTCCTCGTGGGGTGGTGACCCCCAACCATAAAATTATTTCCGTTGCTACTTCATCACTGTTATTTTGCTACTGTGATGAATCGGGCGCCCCCTGTGAAAGGGTCATTCGACCCCCAAAGGAGTCTCGACCCACAGGTTGAGAACCTCTGCTTTAGCAGGTGCACGGGGAGGTCCAGCCAGCGGGAGCGAGCAGG